CATCAGAATTTAATGAGCATCCTCACCTTTTCTCAGACAGGGCCATGTCCCTACCACTCTTCTGGCCTGAGCCAAAACCTCAGGGCAAACTCCACATCCCTGAGAGCAGTGGGAGGTGGTGAGGTGGCAGCCGCCTCCCAGCACTCTACCACGGGGGCAGTCAGGGTGGCCTCACGTCTGTTCTGATGCACATGTGACTCCTCAGTCCTCACTCTTATCCCCAGCAGGGCCTGGGAATCTTCCCTCTGCCAACCGGAAGTTGCTCCTTGTGCTGACTTGCCATGGGACCCTCAGACCAAGGCCTTCCCTTTCCCTACACCCCTTACCCACCAATGAGAGGGCTGTCGCTCAGCCTGAGCTGACTGGGGAACTTTACGAGGGCTGATATGGAGGAGCAGGGTGGGAATCTCTGGATCTGTTCTCTGAGGTGGCAGTTCCCCTTGTCTTCCTCAAAGTCTTCCTATTTATTCCCTAGAGGGCCGGCACCTCCCGCCTTCTTCTGTCATGAGGACGTGTCCCTCAGCCCTTAGTTGCCCTCTTCCTGTCTGTGACCTCCAATCTCACAGCAGGTGCAGGGCAGGCCAGAGCTGCCTCTTCCTGTGATGGGAGGTCCCGCCGTTCTCCCTTGGCGCCCTTACCTTGAGGATTGGCCAGTTCTAAGAGTCTTCTGTCTGCTGATTTCAATTGAGTCTTCTCACAAAATGCCTCAAATACTTCAGACTCCCAGGATGCAAGTCGGAAAAGCACATCCTGCAACCCTGCCAGAACTGACCCGGGATGACAGCAGGGGCAGCATGGGACTAGGTCTCCTCTCTATGGAGGAACCACCCCTCACCTCTCTACCTCCTTCCCACACTTTCCTGACCACCTACCGGCCCTTCTCCAGCCCTTCCTACCCATCTCCTGGGCCCCCTCCACCCCTTCCTCCCTACCTCCCCGACCCTTTCCACCCCTTCCTGCCCACCTCTCAGTACCCCTCCACCTTTTCCTGCTCCCTTCAAGCCCCTCATCCATATTTCCCTGCCCTCCTCCCCACATCCTTTTCCAGGGCTGGCAGCAGGGAGTGGCAGGGTGCAGCCTGCGCCTCCCCTCCATGTTGGAAGGTTACTGTCCTTCCACAGAGCTCTCTTCTCACAGAGTGGCCAGTCCTGGGGTTTCTCCCTCTGCTTAACTGAAGCTGCCCTCCTCGGAGAAAACTTCCCCTCCAGCTGTCTCCCAAAATGGAAGTCAGAAAGTTGTCATCTGGGGACCCTGATGGGCTCCTCCAGAGCTGGCAGCAGGCACAGGGACAGGACAGGGAGCACTATAAGTCATGGGTGTTCCCTTCCTGCCTTCCTGAGAGGCTATGCCTGGACTCTTGAAATGGCCTGGGCTCCCTGCCTCTGTGCATGTGAGTCTTTCACCTCCGAATAAGCCCCTCCCATCCCTGAGACCTGCAAGGTAGAAGAGAGGGAGAATCACATCCCTCCACAGGGGGGTGGGACCTCCTAGGCTCAAGGCAGGACTCTGGTGTCCTTTTTCTGAAATGGTGTGGGCAGGACTCTGTTTTCCTGCAGTTATTATTCCTGACATGGCCTGGGAGCCCTTCCCTTGCTCTCCAGACACTTTGTTCTTCAGATCAAGGTTCCCATTTCCATGAGACGACCCCCAAGACGAAGTGAAAAGCGCTAGCATCCCTGACTGAGGGCCCTGCCCAAGGCCTCCCAGGGTGAAAACAGGGACTGGATTTGTGTGCCCTTCTGTTTCTTGGGAGAGATGCCTCATCGGTCCTTCCTCTGTGTCATCGTAGGGATGCCTGGAAGGGCCTGAGTCCCTTCCCCTCTCATGATCTGAAGTGAGACTCACCTGAGCACAGCCTTCTCCTCTTTCTGTCCTCTGAGATGTCAGGGGGATGCCACAGTGGGCCACCATGCCCCAGGGCCTCCCAGGACTGGCAGCAGTAGTGGAGCTGGATTCTGTGGATCCTCCTCTTTGTGGGCAGGGAGTCTCTGCAGTTCTCTCACAGGCCTCATGTGACTACTGGCTGGTCCTGGGTCTCCCTGTTCTTCTCATGATGACAGTATAACATACGGCAAAAAATAATGTAACTTCACCCTGAATAAAGCTAAAAAGCACCACGATGCCACGGTAATCAAGTGAATATCATCAGTGACAAATTATGTTGGTACTATGTGCTGTCGGTATGATATGATAAGAATGGCACTTCACCTGTCTGTTCATCCTTCCAGGAAATATAACTTACATCAAATAATGACAAAAAAAATCGCATAAATCCCAATCAAAGTCAATTTTACAAAATGCCTAACCACACGAAACTGTCAAAAGTGTCAATGTTTTCAAAATCGAGAAATGTCTCAATCAACTGGTACAGCCAAAGGGCATCCAAGGAACATGATAACTAATAGCAATGGAGTATCCTCAGGGGATCCTGGGATAGAAAACAGAATTTCGTGAAAAGTAAGAAAATGTGACTGAAGTATGTTCAATAATAAATAAAGAATATTTGTTAAAAACAATGTATAAATACTGGTTCATTAGTTTTAGGAAACCTTACCAAGGTAAGATGTTAATAACAGGAGGAATTGAGTGTGGAACATATGATAACTTTCTTATTATTGTTGTAATTTTCTTATAAATCTAAAATTATTTAAACATAATGTTTATCAAATATGAAAAATGTTACCAAACTAGATAAAAGGATATGCATGAGACACCTATAACAGATATATCTTTTAAGGAAATGTTGAAAGCCTCTAGTTTGAACTTGAGGCCTAACCTAGAGTTTCTGCTACAAGTATTTCTATTACTTCTTATACTAGAGGTAGTAGCAAGTGTAGTAATCCAAAGAGGAATAAATGAAGGAATGAAGATTGGCCAGTTGGAAACAAAGATTTTGTGATTAATGGATGATTAGACTGTGCACGAAAAGAATCCAAAACAACTAAAGATAATTTATTCAATATATGATAGTATATCAGTTTGCTAGTATAAGGTCAATATTCAAAAGAATATCAACTTCATTTTTTGTCAGGGAAAGAGTATGAAAATGAAAGTAAAGAATATATAGTTTTAACCTATAGTACCAAAATATCAATTATCTTAGGAAAATAATTTCATCAAAAACATTTTAACCAAATAAGACTGGGAGGCAGCTGACGGCTGGTTAAAATATTTTTTGGTTAAAAAAGCTTAACCAAAAAATTTTTACAGACAAAAATATTAAAATGTTGTTGAGACATATTAATGAAGACTCACATCAATATAAAATAAAAAAATTCATAGGCATGAAGATTCAATATTTTAAATATGTTGATTCTTCCCAAAAAGGAATCTACAGATTGATTGCAATCCTAAATCAAAACTGCCAAAGGACTTTGGACCTGAAGGCATGTGAGAATCACCTGATTCTAAAATATAAAGACACGCAAATGGACAAGCATAATCAATATACACTTGAAAAAGAGTCATTTGTCTACCAGATAGTAAGAATTACAAAGCTACTATAATGAAGAGTTTGAGATTTGGGTGCAGAGATAGACCAAAGGAACTGAATGGAGAGTTCTGAAACACAAAACCAACAAAACATGTATAAACATGTGCTAAAACTTGCAGCTTTAGAGCAAGAGAGAGTCTTCTTGAAATAAGTGTCAGTGGAACAACAGAATATCCATACAAAAAACCTAATGTAAGTGGAACTCTTTTCCATATTAAACAGTGAAAACAATTACAGGGAAATTCAAAACCTACCTTAAAAATATTTATTATAAAAAACCCGCAAAAATACACAGACATACTCAGAATAATAAGTCTTTTTATAAATTATCTTTACGCAAGTTTGCAGTATAAGTAAATTAGAGCATCAGTAAGCCTGGATTTGAAAGCACTGAAAGAGGCTGGAGTCTCTGGTCACTTCAGTACCAGGGGGAAGTAAGATGATAAGAGTCAAAGAGGAGCACAGGAAATAGCATCTACTTCTGCCCCCTTGTTTCAGCCATAAAAGGCCTGACTGCTTTCATGAACCTTTGCTTCTTGAGAGCAAGACTTGAAATCTCAGCAGTGGCTGGGGGAAGGCCACTTGGGACAATGTTGTATTAATTCCCTCTCCTACTTGGCCAGTGCTTCTGCTTACCTCTGGAACTCTGTGGATCCAAGAAATACAACGTGAACAGTTCTACTCCAGAAAGTCATGAACAGGGGATGTTGTGTTGATGACAGAAACCTGACCACGTCCAAAAACAGTTTACTGACTTAGAGGCAGTACCAGTTTGCCCAAATGTGATGGGAATACAGGTTTATTTTTCTCTCCATATAGATAGGAGACTCACATACTTCCTTTCAGCTGTTCTTACTCCTGACAGGACCCTCAGCAGGATTCAGGAACCCTGAGATTCCAAAAAAGGTTGACTTGTGGCTTTGCCAGAGACTTCCCTGAGGGTTGGGGCCCATTTTATTGACTATGGTGAGGATCAACTCAGTCATTTATGAGCTGACTTCCTTCTTCAGCTTTGTCTCCATGTCCCAGGGGCAGTGGGCCTCTGCTCATAGCCAGGATTGGTGGATCATCAAACCTCAGTGCTCAAGGTGGAAACCCACAGACAAGGAAGCTCTTCTCCCAGACTGGGAGGCAGCTGGCGGGTAAATTCCAGCTCTGGCTCCCATGTCCTTGGGAATTATCCTCATGGAGCTTTTCTTCTGAGGTCCCAAGAAGAAAGCATTTCTTATGGATGGTAAAAAGAAAATGGCAGCCTATCCTTTTACCTCCTGGTATTGGAAATAAATCTCCTGTCCAGAAGAGAGAGGGACTAACGTTCTTGGGATTGAATCAATGGGGAGTGTCAGGGACCTTTTAAAGGAGTGAACACAACCATTTTCCTAACATGCCCCAAATGACTCACCTTCGGTTCCTTATTCTCACTTAGATTCAGCCTTCAAAGAACATGCTGCCTCTGTCACTAAAGATTTACCATAGTTGCCATGAATATAGATTTTTTTGCACACAGGTTTGGGGAAGGGGAGGGCATTTCCTGATTTCAAGGAAGAAGGAGTGTTTGTGTGTGGTTCAGAGAGGTTATAAAATACACGTGAGGGCTGACAACTTATTAAAAAATAATAGCTCAATGTGACTTATTTGCTATAGGTGGCACATTTTTTGGTATACTTGATGCCTCCCTTTCTCTCAATTTTTATCAAATCCAAGAGCAGCATCTGTTACTCCAACCTCTAAAACCCATGTGAAGTCCCTCCACTTCAATTGATCTCCATTACTAACTCTGTGGCTCATCTCTCACCTAGACTAAGACAAACCCTTTTTTGCTGGTGCCTCTCCTTTAACATTTAATCCTGTAAAATCCATTCTTTTCTCGGCATTCTTTTGAAAACCCAGTGCATGGCCGATTTTTAAAACTTTGTATACATCAGCATTCACTATAATGAACATTTTATTTATCATAGAAAATATAGAGTCTTACATCTACCACTAAAATGTCATAGAGATCCCTTCTTTTAGCCAAAAATTTATCTTGCTTCACCTTGATAGTCAACCACCACCCTCTACCCAAATCCCAGCAACAATAGTGTGTTTAGCGCGTTTTCTTTATCTACTTTTTTTTAAATCATTTCCAGATTTAAAATGCATAGAATCATACAATCCTGTTTCTATAGTGACTGTATTTTTTTTCAAATTAAAATCAGCAATGACTAAGAGTACCTGTTCTTCAGCCTCCTGTTGAGTGTTTGAAATTTTCAGTTGTTTTGATTTTAGCCACTCTAAAAGATGTGTAGTGGTATCTTGTTTTACTTTGTAATTCCCTAGTGACATATGATGCTAATCATCTTTTTACATTATTATTTGCAATGTGTATATATTCTTTGGTGTAGTGTATATCTATTCAGATCTTTTGTCCATTTTTATTAGATTGCTTTCTTATTATTGAGTTGAGGGTTCTGAATATATTTTTGATACACATCTTTAGTCAGATTTTTTTGCCAAACTTTTATCCTTGTTTCTCATTTTTCCTTTCATTCTCTTAACAGAATTTTTTCATTTTTATGAAGCCAAACTTACCAATTTTTTCTTTCATGGATGCTCCTTTTGGGTTGTATCTAAAAAGTTTTCTCAAACCATAGTCACTTAGGTTTTCTCCTATGGTATCTTCTATGTGTTTCATAGGTTTTTAAAATTTTATTTTCATATTTAGGTCTGTGATTGAATTTATGTTAGCTTTTATGAAGAGTTTAAGGTCTGTGCCTAGCTTCATTTTCTCCATGTGG